CCAGAGACCAAGCCAGCATGTGGGAAACCTAAGATCACAGGACCCAAGCACAGGCAACCACAAAATGAACAAGATGGTCAACGGTATTGTTTGTAGAAACAGTAAGTTCAGGGATGCTTAGCCATCCAGAAGGAAATGAGGCAGCGCACTAAGTCTCAGCTCTGATTTTAAGAGTGACTCCAGAGTCAAACTGCTTTTGATCCTTGGACTGACAGCAGTCATATGAACTTTGCCAAATCACAGTCTGCTGCATTCCTGAGTCCCAGTTTCAATGGCAAAAAATTCATATTGTGAGGGTGGAGAGAGGAGTTCCTGTGGAGCATGCTCATGGGACGGGGACTAGGTAAAAAGCTTCAGCAGTGTTGCTGTTGCCATTGATGCTGGTGTTCACCCGGCCTCTGTGAAATCCTGAATGTGAAGGTTACTCTGCAGAGAGGCCTTGTGGTGTTGAGAAGGAAATAGAGAAATAAAACAGCATAGGGTCAGGGAGAGCCTAAGTACAATGCAGACATTTGAAAGCATTAGCAATAGAAACATTTTGGGACAAAAAGGTAATTTTGAAATAGAGTAAAGCTGTGACTTATTTTTTACAAATTATAAGACAAACTGCAGTATCCTTTCTCTATTTTTCCAGAAATATTCAAATGGATACATTTATTATGAGGTCCTTATGAAGCTTGAACAACTAAATTTATCTAGAGTTTGGATTGATGATAAAATTGATGTTACTTTCTAGCTAATAAAAATAATGGATTTGGCTTTTCAACATGAAACTGAAGTCATCTCATCCAAAAAATATGCCATAAATCACTGAAGTCATACACATGTCTCAATAATATTTCATTACATGCCCCATTTTGCTCTTCATTTCTCAGATTAAATTTTAGTTTCTGACAAGAACCCTCGTTTGAACTAGACAGTCATAAAACCCTTTCCCCTTTTAATGGTATTTTTTTAAATTTCCCAGTGGTATTCTTTAATTAGCTCTGAATTCTGACTTCACATTTAGAGTGGCTTTTCTTTGTCCTTAAGGGAAAATTAGCACTGGATTGATAGTAATAGCTAGTATCTATTTGTGTTACCCAAACAAGAAGTATTTTTATCTTTATGTTTGACCAATTGCATATTGTAAACCACTAATTTCACTTGCAAAAAGTCAAACTCTTAATTTCCTCTGCATCTAGCCTTTCCAGCTCAGCAGGACATGTCTCTTCCCTCCAGCCTCCATCACAGACTTCTTTATATGATGGAGAAGGGCAGTTTGGCACGTGGTTATGAGGACCTATGCTGCTGCCCCCGACTGATCTGTCCATAGCATTTGGCAGGCACCTCCCTTATTCTTAGCTCTTCAGAGTTCTTTTATGCTTGACTAGTTCTTATGAAGTTCAAGACATTAACATAAATTTGGTATACTTCCAAAACATCGTGGGAGAGGAGCAAAAGCAAGTCAATTAGGCAGAATTACATTTCTGAAGAGAATATAATTTTACTCATGAAATGGACTGGAGAAAACATACACATTCAAGTCATCCAGTACTTCATAAAGACAACATTTTAAGTAGAATTCTACACAGAAAAGTAGCTAGTGAAGCTAAATTAGTCTGGTTGGTTCATCTCCCTCTCTTACTTGGTGTTGGCCTGCTCAGAAATGTCTTGATGGAGTTGAAAGTTTCCTTCAGATTTCTATTTACTCTATCTAATCACATGAAGCAACAGAGGGGGGAAATACAGTAAAATTCACAGCCTTTGTCCTAATATCTTTCAGTGATTAACTTGGAAATTCTGACAGTATCAGAGGTATAAGAAATTCCACTTTCATGAAAAGGAAATTAGCAGATGTCAGCTAGCAAATTAATATTTAATGACAAAACAAAATTTATGTGTTTAGATTTTCCATCACCGGATTTGCGTTTGGGCCTTTTAATGTCATCCTTTTATCTTAATTGGCATAACATGGGCAACTTCATTTGTAAAGCATTATGAGAAAACTAGAGCCGCAGAAGCTTCTTAATCAGTTTCTCCAGGCCTGACAGAAGCAAAACCCACAACTCAACTCTTGTCACCTTCTGACAATTTGACAGTGAACATTGGATATCAAAGCACAATGTTGTAGTTGGGTACAGTGGCACACACCTGTAGCTTCAGCCGAGGGAGGAGGATCAAAAATACAAGGACAGCCTCCACTAAACAGTGAGACCCTTAGAAACTTAACCAAACCCTGGCTCAAAATTAAAGTGGAAGGGAGTATGACTCAGAGGTAGAGCCCCCTGGGTTCAATCCCCAGTATCATAAAAACAAGAAAGAATCATCCTAAGTGAAACTTATGATGTCAGAATACCACCACATCCCTAATGCAAATAAGTAGCTTTGATTTAACTTTCAATTCCTGGCCTCCTTAGTTGAGTACAGATTCACCTAAGGAGCAGATGAGCTGAGCTGTCCATCATCAATTTGGAGTCATAAGATTCATCTACCACTCTAGGGCTGCAGCTCTACTTCAGTGTCAGAGCATTTGCTGTGTGAGGCACTGGGTTTGATCTTCAGCACCACATTTTAAAAAATAAATTAATTAAATAAAGGCATGCTGTCCATCTACAACTATAAAAAACTTTTTAAAAAAGATTCATCTACTATAAAGATAAGCATGGCAAGTGATGGCTGTAAAGGACCTGCTACTGCAAAATATGAGACCTTGGCATGTTGAAAATTTTAAATGGAAGGAAACTCTAATAATTTACATATGAATGTCCCCCCAAAAGCTCACATATTGTAGGCAATGCAAGGAAATTCAGAGATGGGGCTTTTAGAAAATGATTGGACCATGAAGTTTCTAACCTCACCAGTGGATTAACCCATTTGATGCATTAATGACTCGAACGGTCTACTACCTGGTAACTATAAGCAGATAGACTATGGTTTGAGGAAGCAGGTCACTAGTGGCGACCCTTGGAGACTATATATTGTTTCTGGCCCTTTCTCTTCTTTCGGCTTCCTGGATGCCATGAGCTGAGTAGCTTTCCTCCATGATGGAAGGCCATAGCCACAGAACCACCTGACCATAACTAAAACTCCTGAACCTGTAAACCAAAATAAATAAGTCCTCCTCTAAGTTGTTCTGCTCAGGTATTTGTCATAGGAATGCAAAGCTGACTCATACAGAATCTGAGAAGCAACATAGAAAGCTTCTCTGACCATTGCCTACTCTTCTCTGAAGCTGACCATAAAATCTTCATGTGAGAGGTATCCTCTCTGTACTCAGATAAAGGGAGTATCTCAGCTCCAAAGACACAGAGACACAGAGCAGAGTCTCCAAGCAGAAGTTCCTCCTAAATATCTCTCAGCTTATTACATTCATGTGTTCTAGGATGGTTCTCCATGACTCCAAGCTTCATGAATGTCTCAAAAACTTTTTATTTAGTGAATTTGTATGCTTTTCTCTTGCTAATCTATCTGCTTTCACAGGAACCCCACTCAATAAACCTAAGAGGAGTAAGAGGAAAATCCAATTCCCCTCCCACACACCAGGAATACTTCAAAAGCAAAAGGAAGCAATATATCAATAATAGAACCCAGGAAGACTCTGTGTGCACAGCTAATTTGCACCTGGATCTGGGGCTTAGATTGTCAGTTCCCTCTTTTCTTGGTGAATTGCTGCCTCCCTCTCAAATCACAACTACTACTGCATAAATCTCCAGATTCAAATCCCACCTAAAGATATTGACATATGTCAGTACTATTAAAATGGAGACTGCCCCAGTACTATCACCATATTTAGGCAGCTCTAAAGCACAGTGGAGAAGGAAAATTCTTCTGGTACAGAATTTTAAATGCATTTGGCTATCCTTTTCACCTGAAGTAGAGGTGGTCAGAGACACATCTCAGGAGGAAGACATCCCTTTTTCCCTGTCTTTAACAGGTAAATACTTGGCAGTTGGCCACTAAGATACTACTGGCTAAGGTGCTAAAATTAATCTGAGAAAGTTATGCAAAGGAGCATAGTAATGTTAAGGAAGGTTTGTGTTGGCTGTGGTAGTCAAGTGTATAGGGACATCCACAGCAACAGTGAGAATCATTTAAAGATTAATGGCTTTCTAATCTAGCAATTTATCTGGGTTGTCCTGTAGATATTGGTCCTTGAGCAAGCCCAATTCTATAGCATTCCCCTAAAAAATTTTCCTTGAAAATAACTTTCTAAAAATCACTATTTTGTTCAATGTACCAGGGTTAATTTGTGTTTTGAAATCAAGAAGTCAAATCATCTGTCTCTGTATAAGGAAAGCATAAAATATTTAGTCATGGAAAGTCTTTCCTTCACCATACATTAATCTGATTCCTGAAACTTCTCCTGTGCCCACTTGTGTACCTCTTTGTAAAATTCAGCTTTAGCAAGAATCCTACTAAGTCAGTTTAGCAATGACCTTCCCTTACACCTAGCCCTTGACATCTGTTCACCACAAATACCTGTTCTGGTTATTCATCCTCCACCATCCTCTGGGTGACCTCTGATTCCTCTGCCTGCCTCCAGCAAGAATCCTATGAGGGATGTTTAGACAAAATCTCTCCTTACCCATGATGTTTCTTCCAAATAATTTTCCACATAATACCCAATATCAGTCAGATTCCTGTTACTATAACAATATACCTGAAATAATTAAATTATTTATAAAGAAAAAAGATTGATTTCTGCTCATGGTTTTGGAGGTTCCATTCTAAAACCAGACAGAGCCACTGCTTTGGGTTTCTTGTGGATACAACAAACAGTGATTGTAGGAAGCATGTGGTGGAACAAACTGCTCACCTCATGAGTCAGGAAACAAGATGGACAAGGTCCTATAGACTCCTTTGGTGGTATGTCAACAAAGACCTAAGAAGCTCCTACTAGTCCATGCTTCATGAATGTTCCCTCAGCTCCCAAGATTGCCACCCTGGGGACAAAAAGACTTTAACACATGAAACTGTGGGAGACAGTTACCCAAACCACAACAGACCTGTACCCTGTTTTTTGGCTGTAAGTTCCCACTTATCCATACTGGATTTAGATTTGAGCCCAATCTTTCTCCCTCACTTTAATATTCCACTGCAATGGTCCCTAGATCTATGGTGACAATTTCCCATACACCCTGAATAAAGTTTGTCTTGCCCTCTGCAACAAGTATCAATATTCTTTTCTTGAACACAAGAAATGAGTTTTATGAGTTTAAGGCCAGATTTATTCAAAAAATATTTATCCAAATATCTTCACATTGAATATTTGAACATTGACATACAGAGCTTTGTATTTTAGAGATAGACTGACAATGTGATTATGTTCTATGGATAAGATAGCCACAGTTAATTACAAATTTCCATAAATTGTGATGCACTAAAAATCATTTGCATATTTTTTACTAATAATGTAAATGAGAAGTAAATTTATATTTGACCAGAAAATTTCTAATGTGCTAAAGAATTATATACTAAATAGTATTTGGTATCTGAGATTCATACATTTTGATTTAAGAGGAAATATAAAAATTTTTTAGAACATTTCTGCAATTGATATACATCCAAATTAAGATTTAACTCAAACACTTTAATTGGTTTTAACAGGACAACTAGTTTTATACTAATGTGATAGGCCTATGAAATAGTCAATAGGCAATAAAATCAATTTTTAAAATGCATAATTAGAAACAATGATAAATAATGTCTACTTTGTTCTTAGTAATATATGAACTATGATTACTGTTTCTGTTTATCCATGTATAGCTCAAAAACATAAATCCACTCAAGGTCATGTAGGATGCTTTTCTCTTGATCTTTTGGTCTTTTCTGGTTATTTTATTTCTTTTTAATATTTGCAGGGACCTCTCTTTCTGCTTTCTTTTTAAGTTGGAAGAACATGTTGAATCCATGGATGGAAAATTTAATTCAAACTTAAGTGCATCATCTAACCATTTGAATTGTTAAAATTAAGCATGTTAAGTATTCCATGGATCTGATCCAGTGTCTCAGTTCATCTGTGTTTGGAGTACTTGAATATGAATACTGAGGATATTATTCATCATTGAGTCAATAAAGAGACTATCATCAAAGGGAGCAAGTGACCGAAAGGAACTGTGCTCACTACAAAAGTCAATGAAGCCAGAAAAAGTCCTTTAAAAATCAGCTATGCTGCCAGTGACCACAAAAAGGGCAAAGCTTATGAGTCACTGATATAATCAAAGTAATAGTTAAATGCACTACTAATCAATTAATAACCAAACTAAAATAGTCCATCATTTTAATTCATTTTGACATATTTAATTTAAAAGACTACATCCTATGTTTACAGAGATGTAACATTTGTATTACCAAAAAATGTTTACTTTTCTTACTAATGCCAAAGTGAAAAAAATAAGAGTGATTTAAAGCAGTTGTCTGAATCAGAATCTCACTGTGTATTTAAACATGGGATAGGAGGGCATTTGAAATAATAAAGAACATTTTCTTTTTTTAATCTCCATACACATATTTAATCGGAATAATGTAACTGATGGATGTCCTCCACAAAAATATTTAGAGGTGATGGACCATGACCAAGTTGCTCATAAGGCACTTAATAAATGAGGGCGAGAGAGAAAGAGAGAGAGAGATGGACAAAGACAGAATAACAAAGTACTTCTTCAGTACCAAGTTGTAGTTTTTTTCAAGGTAGAGGGACATAAAAATGTCAGAATTATTTTAAGCTATTTGATACATATATATGTAATAATGTGTTAGTCTTTCAAAGGAGATTAATACAATGTACAAACACTCTTAGATCAGAATTTTTGCACTAATTTTAGGTAATTCAGAATCTAAACTCAAACAAGCCTCAATTCTGATTACAAACTGATGCAAATTAAGTTTGCCAGGAGTCTCGATAAGATACGACTCATACAAATCCATAGGCACCTGCTGGAGTTCCTAACAGGCAACTTCAGTGGGTTCAGGATGAAACAGTTGATGCAACATTAAAATGATGATACGAAAATAGTTTGTGCCAGAATCTTCCAAACTTCCACTAAAATGCCTATGAAAAAGGAAAGAAAGATACATGAACATCTATTTTTTTGAAAATAAGGCTATCACCATTATATACCATTCTTAGGCCTTATAATTAAGGCCTAAGAATTTCATGAAGATAAAAATTATCCAATCTGTCTTTCATACCTAACATGAATCACATTCACAAACACAGAAGGTGGGAAGGCCTTTTCTCCTTCTTTTGCTGCCTGTATAGAAAACAGAAACCCCTAAGCTGCAGGGTTCCCCTCCTACAGATTGTCACGTTTTGAGGAAAACACTCCCTGTCTCTTACCATTAGCCCTCAGTTTTCTATGCGATGAAGACATAGATTTCCTCAGATATTTAAACTACTGAAGAAGAAAACAGAATTTTGAGGTTAGCTTCCTACTGCCCCTGGAACAAATTATTTTCAATTTATTGCTGCAAAACAACACAAATTTAATTATCTTACAGTTCTCTAGGTCAGAAGTCTGACCGAGGTTTCAGTGGACTTTGAATCTAGGTGTGGGCATTCCTTAAGGCAGCCTCCAGTGGAGACCTCATCTTCTCACCTATTCCAGGTGTTGGAGGTTTCCCATCTTCCTTGGTTGATAGCTTCTTTGAATTTCAAAGCCAGCAATGGTGTATTGAGAATTCCCATGACACCACTCCAACCTGGCCTTCATCATCAGATCTTCTTTTCTAACTCAGGCTCTGATTCATCTGCCTCCTTCTTCTTCATGTAAACAACCCTATGATCCCATAAGCTCAGGATATGTATATAATATAATATAATATAATATAATATAATAATATATTAATATATAATTAATAATATATATTAATAATATATATTAATATATTATTATATATAATATAATAATATAATATATTATATTATATTGATAATAATATAATATAATATATTATTATATATAATATAATAATATAATATAATATAATATAATATAATATAATCAGGATAATCGTAATTTAGTCATCTGAGTAGCAACCATGCTATAGTTTGAGACAATGCAAGAACCTTCAGGGATGAAATAATTATGAGAGTTGAAGCCTAATCAGTGGATTAATCCACTGATGTGGATTAATGGGGTGGCAACTTTAGGCAGGTAAGGTGTAGCTGGAGGAAGTAGGTCATTGGCAGCATGACTTTGGAGTTTCTATTTTGCCCCAGAGAGTGGAACACTCTCTGCTTCCTGCTTGCCATGTCCTGAGCTACTTTCCTCCTCCATGCCCTTCTGCCATGATGTTCTGCCTCACCTTGGGCCCAAGGTTATGAAGTCCTCCATCTATGGACTCAGACCTCTGAAACCAAAATAAACTTTTTCTCCTCTAGTTGTTTTTGTGAGATCTTTTAGTTGCAGCTGCAAAAAAAAAAAAAAAAAAAAAAAAAAAACTGACTAAACTAAACCATGATTCTATCTACAATCTTAATTCTTCTTTGTCATGTAACTTAAGATATTCACAATTCTTAGGCATTTGGGCACTGACACCTTATGGGTAGGGGGGCCCATTACTCTGCCTACTAAGCTGCATAACATTACTTGCTGGAAACTATTGCAAAGTAAGCTGAAATGCTGTAAGGAGTAAATTCTGCAGATTATGTTCTTCACGTACTCCAACAGTATGTCATAGAAGTAATACAAAAGGGATACAAGTAGCCCACTTCAGGCTAGCAAAGTACATGAGATATGTGCCAAATGTATACAGAAACAAAGTTGCAAACAAAATTCTCATCAGCCCTGGCTTCGGGTGTTAGCCTCACTAGAAGTGGGGCTGCAGAGTTGGTGGGCCCCCAAAGGTGGAGGCGTGCTTTGAATGGGCATGAGGGAGCTCCTTGGGTCTGAGACTTACATCAACTCAAAAGTGGCCTCCTACTTAGTTTTAAAAACAGGAGGAGTGGGGGATGTATTTTAATGCCTCCTTTTACCTTTTGCTTACGTGAGTGTTTAAAAATATCCCTGAGACGAAATAACCTAAGTCTTGACCCATGCACAAGTGTGAAGTCTGAGTTTGAAACACATTTTGATGCTGAAACATCTATCTGTGAAATTCATATAGAATTGTTTTGGGAAAGGTGAGGGCAAGGATTATGAATGAAAAAAATAAATAAAGTGCTTTTTACTAAAGTTCTTATCGTGCAGAAAAAAGAAAAGGACTAATAAAAATAAAATTACCAAGATGAAGAAGATACAGAGAAAATATTTATATCTGCTTAAGAAAATTAATCACTCTGAGGGTGTATCATTACTAATAGCCATCAAGTTATTTAGAAATCTCTTAACTATAAATGATTAAAATGTAAGACTGCACATAAAAATGTATTAAGTAACCAGAAGGTAACAAATACATACGTTATTTAAAGATAAAGGATGCCATAATAAACATCTATTTTAGAAAGAACAAACATAATTTCTAAAAAAAATTAAATAGATCTTGTACTAAAAACAGCAGTCAAAAGATAAGCAAAATAACAGATTTCATCTTATAGAATAAAAAGTTAATGACCCAGAAATTCTAAATATCATTACCCAGGAATAACATTATAAGTTACAAAATGGATATAGAACTATAGAAACTGAAGCGACACAAAGTTGATTTGAATTAAAAGAAACAACCAGTGTGTTCCTTTTCTGGACACAATGGAACAACTTCCAGTAGAACTATTATGGAATAATGAGAAAAAGCCAAAGTGAGGGGAAACGTATTTGAAGAGGATCAGATATCTTCTGAAGCAGGAGAATCAGAGGGGCACAGATTCTGGAGGGAGGAACATCATGGGAAACTGAGCCCATGTTCTATATTCACACTACATCAAGGGGCATTTACCAAAAGTGGGCACAGGCAAAGAGGGTGAAAGCCCAGGCCTCACTGAGACAGGACAGGTCACTGCTGATGAACTGAAAGTCACCTGAAGTGCTTGGAATGGTCTCTAGTGGCTAGAGAGATAAAATTGGAGATTTGAACAGCATAAAATAGGTGGCTAGATTTTTTTTTCATTTCTCAAATTTTGATGTGACAAGATGTAGAAATTTACAAAGCTTAACAGAAAGCGTCCTAAAAGAAGGGAGCTTTCCACCACTCAGCATTGATGAGATAAAGTGCCATAAGGACCCAGCAAGCAAAAGGGCCCATGGAACATTCCAGACCATTTTATTTCAATGCCTGGATGACTATATTCAATGCAAATGGCTAAGGAGAGAGAAAAGAATCCTTACAAAACCACAACCAGCCTCGATCTAGTTCATTGGTGATTGGTTCAAGGCCCCATTTCTGCATGGTAGTCTGCAGAGGTGGGAAATCTCGTCCTCATAATGCTCAGGTCCTCTCTACCTTTTCCATTTTGCTGGCATTTGCACTAGTGGTGCAGAAGCAATGGCAGTCAATGGTGTTGGTACCCGAGCGTAAATTAAGTAAGTGGCACAAAGGTCTGTCAGGACTCATTGTAATCGAGCTATGGGAGTCTTCACAGCTTACATACAAATTAAAATGGAATTAACTCAGATTTTTAAATATCATTTGCATTTATGAGAACATTGCACAAAGGGTTAATTGTATTAGATCATGACATTCAAAAATGCATGTCTTTATAATGACAATGTAATTGTGTATGAAACAATTCTGCCCTATTTGAAAATAGTTTTGAGAAAAATACATATTATTGTTTTTCTTTTGTTTGTTTTAATGCAAGCTGAAATGAATATTGTTTTCTTGGAGCATCATTTCTAATAGGAAACAAAAAAAAGGAGAGAAGAGAGAGATTAAGACATAAGCAACACTTGAAAAGATAATTGCCAATTTTTTTTTCCTGAAATGATTGTAATAAACTATGTATCATTGGAAAGGTAACACAGAGAAAACAAAATAATAAAAAATAAAAATTACTCCAAACGAAAGCAATAAAGACATTGGAAAGGAACATGGAAGTGTTACATAGCAAGTCTCAATTTGTTTTAAGAGTAAAATCATTTAGAGTGTATTGTCTGACCACAGTGAAATTAAGCCCATAATTAGTAACTCAGTAGTAACTAGAAAATTACCGATTCTTTGGAAATTAAACAATACATTTTAGTGCATGAATAGATGGAATGAGGAATCACTGTAGAAATTAAAAATGTATTTCAATTGAAAGCTAATTAAAAAAATAACACTTTAAATATTGAAGGACTTGGCTAAAGCAGCACTTAAGAAATAGAGACTTCAACATATACATTATAAGAGGATAAAATTTTAAAATAACTGATCTAACTATGCTTCCATTCTAGGACTACCAAAAGACCAGCAACTCTAACTAAAAATAAATGAACAAAAGTGGAATTAGTAAAATAGGAAATTATTGTGCAATAAATAAAATCAGCCATGCTGAAATATTTTTAAAGTATGAATTTTAAAAATATTATCTTTGAATGATTCAGAAGGTAGAAAAGAAACAATAAACATCTTGAATTTAAAAAGAAAGACTACAGATCCTTAAAACCTTAAAATCTAATAGTAAAATATTATAAACAACTTCATGGTAATGAATTTGAAAATATAAATGAAATGGTCATATACACTGGAAACAAAAAAAAAAAGTGGATATTGGGCTGGGATTGTGGCTCAGCAGTAGAGCATGTGTGAGGCCCTGGGTCCAATCCTCAGCACCACATAAAAATAAATAAATAAAATAAAGATATAAAAAGAAATTGGATATTCTTAACATGTTGAAAGAAATTTAATACATTTTTAAAACTTCCAACCAAAAGAAAAAAAATGGATTAAAAAACTCCCCTGGTAAACTCATTCTAACATTTAAGAAAGAAATAGCATAAACTTTACATAAATTCTTTCATAGAATACTAAAAGAGGGAATTATTTCCAATATATCTAAAACCTCATATAAAATTCTAAGAAGGGCATTATAAGAAAAACTACAGATCAACCTCTCCCATTAACATAGAAACAAATACTGTAAAGAAATATTGCAAATTCAATTTGCAATATAATAGAATAAGATGTCACAAC